TAGTTTGTTCGTTAACAACTCCAGTTTATTACAAACAAATATCAACTATTGAAGATTTGATAAAACATAATTTAAAAATTATGTCTTCAAATTACGAAACAGAGAATATCGGAAAACTTTACGATTTTCCAACGCAGTTAAAATTTTTAAATGTAGATTCTGATACTTTTTCGAAACACCGCGATTATTTGAATTCTTCATATGCGTATCTTGTTACAGAAGATGTGTGGAGGTTTCTTAATATCCAGCAGCAACTCTTGGAGAAGCCAATTTTTCATTTTTCCGAGATATGTTTCGGAACTTATCCGATAGCATTCCCTTTACAAAGGGATCTGTATATTGCCCGTCCCTTAAAACACTATATAATGTTAGTATTCGAAATTGGCTTGTATGAAAAATATTTAAAAGATGTTTCCCTAAAAGGCATGCGATTAAGTTTAACAAGAAAAAAGAATCTTTTTAAATATAAAGAAAATAATATATTTACGTTAGAACATTTTTCTTTTGTATTTTTTCTTTGGTTTTCTGGTTTGTGTTTTGCTAGTTTTTTATTTTTAATTGAATGTAAAATTAAAGTGATTTTCTTTAAAAATTGTTTTATAAAATTAATATTTAATTAAGTTTTGTTAGCACACCTACACTGTATACTTATGCGTATATTATAAATTATACAATAATTATTGCGATAAATATTCTTTGTAACTATTAATAAAAATAAATAAATGAAAAAGATTGAAATTTATTCCTTTTTCATTACTTTTTAAACTTCATTATGGTGCTATAATAATTTTCTGATTCCGTTACAGTTCCTATAATTTAGTACAATCCTTCTTTTTTATGACCTAATTTGTCCAAAAAATCAGTTCCTTTTTTCAACATATTTATGACTCTGCGGTAAATGAATTTATTGCTATACACATTTCAATCCACCAAATTCAATCCTAAAAACATATATCTATAACATAAAACCAAAATACCTACCAAAATTCCTGGACATTTCTATACGGTGGTCAGCCCGAAGTGTAGTGCGAAGAACCTCCGTCAAAATTTATATAAAATTAATGATGTGAAAATCCAGTAATGTTAAAAATATGGAATCATTGATGAAATAAGGAGCTTTGCTAAAAAAGTTCAACACTACTTCATTTCCACACTTTTCTTTAAAAATTAGATTCATTTTTACATGTACATATGTAAGTATATTATGTATTTGAATTTAGAATTTGATTTTGAAGAGAGAAGTAATGTCTTTATATCTTACAAGTCCCAACGCTGAGAGAGAAACTTGAAAGCACAACCTCATTTTATACGAGTTTTTTTTTTAATCGAAATAATTTTAATTTTTGAGGAGAAATACCAAAATAAGTTCATACTTATTATAAAGCAGCTCAAATTCCGAAAATATATGTTTTTAAAAAATCAATTAAATATAATAATAATGCCTTATATATCTATCAGACCACCAAGCTCAGAGAACAAATCAAAAATAAATTTTAAAATTATATGGACTTACATGGAAAGGGTGTCGAAAATTGGTCAGTATTTAAAATTTAAATAAAAGTAAATTTAAAATCCATTTGAAAAATACATTTAACAAGAAAAAAATTGCAATTTTTAGCGCATACAGAATCTTTCTTGTCTTGCACATGGAGGGGTACTGAATTGTTTAGTGAAGTTTTTAAATAAGAAATTGATTTTAAAAACAAACTGAAAAAAGCAAAAAATTTATTCTCATAAATAAGGTGAGAGCCACAAAGAATACCCAAAAATTTCACAAAAAAAATAAAAAATATATTTCAATCGGCATATTTAGAAAACAAAAAAAAACTATTTTTAGATCAAGAATTGTTTTTGTAATTTCTTTCCGATTCAAAATTTCGGTAAATAATTTCAGCTTAGTTGCTTGATTGATATATATGGCATTAATAATAGTATTTTCATTCTCAATTATTTTGAAATTCTAAACATACACTAATGTCTTTACATCTAACAAGTCCCAATACTCAATTTTTTTTACGATATATTACGAATTTTTGGTTTCGTTCCTGTTTTTTTCTTTAAATGCTACTGATCGTGTCATATTTCTTATTATTTTTTTCTTTTTTTTACGTAAAAAAGAGTTTAATTAATGTCCAAGGTCATATACTCTGCCTCGAGAATGTAAATATTATAGAAGAAATAAAGGTCATAACTTTGTTACAAGCACAAATAGTAGTGATGGTAAAAATTTTCAAAAATTTTCACAAAATCTTATATCAAAATTTATTTTTCATCTTTTAGGAGATGTAGATAGTGGGGATGATAATGAATCTGAACTTAATTCTGATAATTCTCATATCGTTTATCATCAACAACGACAATTAAAATCACGAATAAAGACAGCGAATCAAATTAATTATAACAATCAAATTCCAATATAATCAATACCATCGTGGTTTGCCGAGGGCGCCAATGTCATATCGGCGATACGAAACTAAGCTATAGGTTGATTTTGAGTTTTGTTTTAGCTTATTTTCGGTCTTTACTTAATTAAAATTTAAATTTTTCTAATATTTATTTAAGTATTTATATATGCAATGGAAACTCAAAGATTAAGCTATGCAAATTTATAATAAAAAGAAAAGAACGTTACAATAACGCGTATTATTTTCACAGAAACAATAATTTTACACGTAAAAATTTATTTAAGATTTTTCATGAAGTTGTTCATTTATTTAAAAATTTATTTAAGATTTTTCATGAAGAAGTTCATAATTGTATTTTAGATATTATTTTCTAATTCCATCTTCAAATTTTTTCTTTACTATGTATTTATATCAATATTCAATAATTATCTTTCATTAATTATATTTTCAACTTGACACCACAGTTACTTCCCATATCTTGAGTTAACTTACTCTATGAGAAAAAAAGCTGTTCACTTAAAAATAATGAAATGCTTTCAGTAACATATAAAACGTCGAAGGTGAAGGTTGTGCTTGTTGTTTTTCCGCTGTTTCAAGAATTTTAAAATAATTATGAATGAAAATATTAATATATTTTCGTGATTTTTCAAATATATTTTCGAAATTTTACTTGCTTTATAATAAGTGTGAATTTATTTTAAAATTCCTTCTCAAAAAATAGCCACTTCGATTTAAAAAAACCCATATAAAATAAGGTCGTGCTTTCAAGTTTCTAGCGGTTGCGGTATACTATACAGCAAGTTGCGTTACGAAACTATCGATATATCGCCATAGTTTTGCAACGATATATCAAAAATATCGATGGTTCAATATATCGATAGTTCCCCAACACTAACTGAAATTTGAAAAACTTTTTCACCAAACGTAGTATAGAGGTCAAACAGATTTTAGAAAACAAATATGAACTTGTGCACATTACTAATGCATGTATGATTAAATATTGTTATAGAATTCATAAAATTTAATAAAATTTCAATGTCAAATTTTTTGTTTTAAAAATTTAAAATACCTTAACAAGATTTTAAATAATTTATTTAACGATACACTAAGTCCTCGAGATACAACACTTTCGGTTCCAGAAATTTATGTCGTAACTCGAATTGTCGTTTGAGGAAAAAAAAATGTATGGAAACAAAAAGTGAATTAGACAAATTATTTTATATTATAATTAACCTGTTTTTTTAAAAATGGTAGCACAGTTTTAAAAGACAATTAAATATAATAACGAAACAAAAAAAAAATTCAATTTTCTAACAAAAATAAATAAAATGAAATCTGATTAAGTGATTATTCAAATTCAAATTCAAATCATTTTATTGCCCAAATAAATTCTTACAGAAATAATTCTTAGAACTAATTTTTAAGTGTTTCAGTCGTTACTTTTCCTCTTTAATCTTCTTTTTTTTTTTTTTGGAAAATTTTGTTACATAATTGTTATTATTTAATTTATATTTATTGCTAGGAAAAATTGCAAAAAACCTATTTGATATTTTAATATTTTCTTTTTTTGTGATTTTTGTTGTTTTATTTTTTTTTTTTTTTTTTTGTTATTTTTATCTTTTTTTAAAACTTTAGTCTAAACCTAAATCTAAACTTAAAAATAAGCCTAAACTAATATTACTTATCTTATACAAGTTAAGTCATTTATCGTATGAGAACGTATCAAAATAAAAATAACAAAATTTTTACCTAACTTAATTTAATTTTATTTTAGTTCAATGTTTTTGATACACCCGTTTGTTTACAATATTTTGTTTCTTTCTTGCCTACACAACTCTTATTACCATCTATTTCTAAATAATAAAAATGGAGTATTTTAAGAATTTGGAAGCAAGATGCAAACGAAAACTAACGGAATGGAACGAGTCGAATTACTCATTAGTAGATATACTTTGCTACTTATTAATAGATATACTTTGATGAAAACATAAATTAAAAATGATAAAATAAATTTATAGTACAATTATAAATTTCTAAAAATTATTGTACATTATAACCTACAATCTACATTATTCACTTTGTTTACTTTTTTAATAACTTTAAATGTAATTTCTTTCTAAATCTGGATAGCAACGACTTTTTCCTAGCAAATTTAAATGCTCGCGAACCATAATATTATTTTGGGTGAGTATTCGAATAAGTTATTGTACCTGTACATTCTAACATTTAATTTTGTAAGAGACTTATGCGCCTACGTAATGTATTGAAATAATTGATTTTGACAATGTGTATAGGTATACACAATTCTTTTCTACTTTTTTAATTATTGTTTTTTAATGTAAAATTTATCCGCTTAATGTCAATTTACATATGCAAATCGCGAACTTTAAATTTAACAACATAAAATTCTTTTGAAAAAAAAGTTTTAATTTTTGAAAATCTTCAAAAATTATGCGTATAAGCGCACTTTATGCGTGTAAGCGTACCTATGTAACTTGCAATTTTGTTTCCTCTAAAATTTACTCCGTCCTAAATTGTAACTACACAAACTGCATCTTAACAAAAATCAGCTGATTAAAAATTTCATTAAATTAAAATTCAACAGAGTTCCATTGATTGGTTCTGTCATTCTTTAAAAAAAAACTTTGATATTAATGTTATTCATATTGTGTAAATAAATTTAAGAATACGCCGAGTTTGCAGGAAATGTACAAGATCTCCAGGGAATTTACATCGCTAGAAAGTTTACGTAAATTAATGATAAAATATAGTTCGACCTCTAAACTTAAAAAACCAGAATCCATAAAAAATTCAAAAAAATCTTTAAAAAATAAATATAAAAATAAACCCAATTTGCAAGTATCCGTGGCAAATGTAGTAATGGATGCCTTCAACGTAAACAAAACAGATAAGTGTAAAAATAGTAAAAGCCAAGAGGCTCGATATAGCGTTTTGGAAAGGTATTTTCCCGCTGTAAGGGCAAATATTTTATTAAAAAAACCAAAAAAAAATTTCCAATCCGAAAAACTTATTACAGGTTTATTCTAAATATCGCCATTGGGAACCAACCGTATATGGTAATAATTACTACAGCACTCTTCAAAAAGAAATGGGAATGGATTTCACGTTAGTGTCTTATAATATTTTGGCACAAGACCTTCTTGAAAATCATAGTTATATATATAAAAATCACAAGAATGATGCTTTAAATTGGTCACACAGACTGTCTAAATTAACTGATGAATTACTTTTATTGAAACCTCATATAATTTGTTTGCAAGAAGTGCAACATGATCACTTAGATGACATCAAATTCAATTTGAAAGAACTAAACTTGAAATGCATTTACAAAAAAAAAACCGGAATTAGAACCGATGGATGTGCGATTTTTTACAACGATAGCAAGTTTGTACTAAAGGACTTTAAATCTGTAGAGTTTTATCAACCAAATATTGAAGTTGTTATATTTATAGACAAAAACTCAAATATTTGACTAATTTTCAATGTTTTAGAAGTTAGACAGAGAAAATGTAGGACTTATTGTAAGATTGTCTTTAAAAGAAAACCCAGAAGAATACATTATAGTTGCAACAACACATTTACTATACAACCCAAAAAGACAGGATGTTCGACTAGCGCAAATACAAGTTCTGTTAGCAGAGTTAGATCACTTATCCTTTAGAGGATTGTACAAGGACGGTATTCCAGAAAGATTCCCAATTATATTAACCGGTGACTTTAATTTAAAGCCATGCTCTGCTCCTTATAAACTATTAACACGTGGTGAATTAGAATACAGCAATTTAACTCGGCTAACATTAGAAGAACCATTTAGTGAAGACGCTAATTTGGTCGGAAAACAGTTTCTTCCTCCTCATTTAGGAATTACTGACAATTGCCAGCATATTGATGTTGTTGGTCATAGTTATACTAAACCATCAAGGGTAAGTATCGTTATAATAACTTAAATACATTATTAATATATTATTAATTCTTTTAGTTATATAGTAGTGATAATAATGAAAGATCTGGTAAAATTTCTCCCGACCTAGTTGAATCATGCCCACAACTTTTTTCTTCTGGTCAGTTAACACACAGCTTAAATTTGAATTCTGCATATCACCATGTTAATAAAACAAATGAGAAATATGCCTCTACCTATCAAGACGAGTGGATAACAGTTGACTATATTTTTTATAATAAAAAATTAGGGACCGGCACGGATAGTAATTTGAAACTACTATCAAGGTATGTGTTACCAACAGTTTCCCAATGTATTCAAATGGGTATGATACCAAATAACAGATTAGGGTCAGATCATTTGGCTTTAGCAGTACATTTTTTCTTTAAAACTGAGAAAGTAACTTCATGAAAAATCTTAAATAAATTTTTACGTGTAAAATTATTGTTTCTGTGAAAATAATACGCGTTATTGTAACGTTCTTTTCTTTTTATTATAAATTTGCATAGCTTAATCTTTGAGTTTCCATTGCATATATAAATACTTAAATAAATATTAGAAAAATTTAAATTTTAATTAAGTAAAGACCGAAAATAAGCTAAAACAAAACTCAAAATCAACCTATAGCTTAGTTTCGTGTCGCCGATATGACATTGGCGCCCTCGGCAAACCACGATGGTATTGATTATGTACTGGAATTTGATTGTTATAATTAATTTGATTCGCTGTCTTTATTCGTGATTTTAATTGTCGTTGTTGATGATAAACGATATGAGAATTATCAGAATTAAGTTCAGATTCATTATCATCCCCACTATCTACGTCTCCTAAAAGATGAAAAATAAATTTTGATATAAGATTTTGTGAAAATTTTTGAAAATTTTTACCATCACTACTATTTGTGCTTGTAACAAAGTTATGACCTTTATTTCTTCTATAATATTTAAATTCTCGAGGCAGAGTATATGACCTTGGAAGAGAAACCTGAAAAAGTAAATGACAATCAAAAATATATTAATTTGGCTTATGTACAAATATCAATATGTCAATAATAATTTTTCACCTGACTGTCGATATCAGAAGGCACACGATGAGTTTTGTCGTCACCATCATCTAAATTTTCGTCAGGACTACTAATATTGCCTCCATTAGAGCATTCCCTAGCAATCCAATCATAATAAATTCTGGAGTCATCTAAATAGTGGGGCGCCAACAAAACTTCTGGAGTTTTAGATCTTTGTTTTAATTGATTAAATTTGTTAACAAAATCTTGTTGTCGTTGTTGAATTATGTGTTGCGAATGATGCTGAAACTTTAACAAATTTCTACTATCCAATTTAGATCGCGGTGGAGGAACAACATTATAAGAATACGGTAGTCTTTCATTACAATTGTTTGTAATATTATGTTCAACATTGGAATTATATGTAGGATTTGACATTTGGCGATTATGATTTATCTCGAGGAAATTATTTTGTTCAAATGGTCTAGTTGAATTTGATGATGTGTGGTCTATACTTTGGTTATTAGAATTCAAAATTGATGAGAAGTGATTTCGCGAAATATTATGTGGAATTTTCAATTTTTGCCTTTGTGGTTGGCTAGTTTGAGCTTGGGATGAATTATGTTGATGTTGTTGCATCGGTTGCTGTTGCTGTTCCAACTGCTGGTGTGATTGTTGTTGTCTTGACAAGGAAGTGCTTTCTGTAATTGATGATATTGGTGACATATTTTTCGATTCAATTGGTGAAGTTATTAATCCATTTAGCGCAAATTGGGAATACACCTCTTCATACTGAGTAGCTGAAAACTTATTTAAGTTATTCAATTCATCTATGTCACTTAAACTTTTGTCCATCATTAAAAAAATTGACGATTCATCCCAACCACCTTTAAAGTTTGAAGCAAGATGGTCAATGTTAATATGTTTTTTCATTCTAGGAATCGGTTGTCTTGGTAAGGAAGATCTTTCGTCGTTAGAACTTAAGGTATTTGTTGCAGGACCATTTAATTTTCCCTGTTTTATTTCTTCTTCAATTATTTTCAATTCTGCTAATTGTTTTAGTTTTTTTTCTTGCAATTTCTGATGAATATTAACCCGAGAGGAACCAACACTTCCTTCATTTTCGCTTGATCCACCATTAGAACGCAACGGCCTCTTCCAAAATGGAATTGCCATAGGTGTTGATATATTATTTTCAGTCTTTAGTTGGGTCGGGTAACTTAAATTTGGTGGGGGAACAAAAGTCGTTGGCTTTTTTTTCTTTCGTTTTGTTGCGCTGAAAAAATATTTTTTTAGTACAAATACATATTTAAATAATATATTTCGTCAATTCAATACTTTCCAACTGGATTAGAAAAGCGGCAGTTGAATACTCCAGCTATTTGAGGTTGATTCTGAATTTGTAAATGAGCTTTGTCGTTTAAATCGTTTTCAGATTTATTTTTATTCTCGCTAGAGTAGCGACCGCCTGCCTCCCAATTTAATCTCCTAACATGAAAAAACCTAAAATATAAAACCTTTAAAATTATTCCCCTTTCCCGAAAGAGCTATTACAAACCTATAATAAATCACCATGAACAATATTCCCAATACAAATGAGCCAAAAATTATACATGGTAATAAATACCATCTTTCTGATTGTTCAGATGACACACCTATTACCCATAAGCAAACAAGTAGAGTATTTTCTAAAAGCATAACCATGTAAAATATGAACATCTTTTGGCGATGATTCACTTCTTGCAAATTAATATACTCAAAAATATAAATAATCGCTATTAAAGCAGATAACATTGTTTTTCGAATTTTTGATATGCGTTCTCCATGAAAAACATTTTTTGGTGATATTAACCTAAAATACATAAATGTATTTTAATTTTTATTTTATTTTTTTTTTTTTTTTTTGCCAAACCAAAGAAACATCGAAAGCCAATGCAGGATAATAACTAGGAAAATCCAATACTTATAAACTGAAGCGTAAACAGTAAGTGACCCAATCCTTGATATTACGGTTCCCAAGCGCCACAGGAATTGAAATATGACACCGAGCCAAGTCAGTACCAATCGATGAACTAAAAAGTTTATTTAAATACAAATGTTATAGTGCTTGTATATATTTTACCTTTTTGCAATCTAACGTTCTTACTAAAACTTGCCAATGCCCAACAAACACTAAACAAGGATAACACTATTGCAACAAAATTCAAATCTTTAAAAGTTTTTTCGCTTTGTAGCTGAATTTCCGAAGGTTGATGTGACACAATTCCAACAATGCTAGAACCGGCAAGAGATTGCCCATTGTTTAAAAGTAAACTTTTTAATTTAACATCTTGGTTATTTTTAAATAAAAATTTACTATCATTTTGAATTGTTATTAATAAATATAATTGCAACAACAGCATTGGAGCCGCTTCACAGAAGCCATGGATTAATCTTAATATACACAAATCTCTTACTTCGTGCTTAACACGTCTTAAATCAACAGGTATAAATAATTTAGCGTATCTCCATAATACACCTAACTGCATACAGTGAATACATATGATAACCCAATGTTTAATATTACTATTCGAAATACTAAAATTTATTTTAATATGTTCTTTTTTATTTATTTCTTCTAACTGTTCATTCGATGTGATATTTAAACGATTTAAATCTCTTAAATACCATCGAAACGATATAACCTGAGATATTATTAGTGAAATAATAACAAAGCATAATATAATACTAAAATATCCATTCCGTCCTTTTTCAAACAAAGCATATCCAAGAACTATATCAAATACAATATTGCAAAAATAGCCTGCAATACAAATTAAAAAAGAAAATTATAAATTTTATGTCCTAGGATGGATAGTATTTTTAGTTCTATATTACTTACCAGCTAAAGAGATAACATTAAAAAGGACATCACAAAGTGGTAAAAATTCTTTCATTGTTATCTCTCTTTTGTATATTTTTTAAGTTATCGTTTATATTATTAATTTTATAAACACTACGGAAAATTATTTGATTGAAAATTAGTCCCAAGTTTTTTACCATATTTTTAGCATTGAAGTCTTTCGCTTTTGAAACAGACAAACTTCCTGTATTGCTAAAAATGGTTCAAAGGCACATACATAATATTTACAAAATATATTGCTAGAAACTTGTTTCACAAATTTCTACAAATTCGCCGATTGATATTTAAATTTATATTTTATTTAATATAGAAAAGCATCTTGTACAAAATATTTTTAAATTTTATATTTGATTTTTTTTATAAACTTCTTAAAATATTATTACATACTTTGATTTAAAAAATGCAACAAGAATTCTAAGTGAAAAAAGAAACCAAATTCCTTTCGAGACAGAGATAGAAAAGAAATACCTTTGCACCTTTTTCTTTCTATTCACATTTCAAAATTAAAACTGGTCTGCACAATAGATGTATTAAACATAGAGTGGCAGTACAAAAAATATTTTTAAATGTTTTCTTTATATAGGTAAAACTTCCTGCAATTTTCTTTTTTTCGAAACATTGTGAATGTAATATTAAAATAATGCATGATGATAGGGAAAGTTTTTTTTTCAATTTTAGAGAATCTTCCGAATTTTCTATAAACCAGTAACAAAAATTAATTATATTTAGAATTAATTTTATTTAAGGTAGAGTTAACAATAAACCATAATTTCCAAATATGTCAAATATCAGTAGACAGAGGTCAAATATTTTACTTTTTTTACATTCTAAATTTTTATCCAAAATCAATTTTTTAATACATTTATTGTAAGAATAATTTTTATTTCATTTTTCATATATTTTTTCTATATTTAGAAAACAAATTTTTATAAATTTTATTTTAGTAATTTCTTATGAAATATAATTTTTTGCTTATTTTTTTCTCATCCACATAAATTTTTAATATTTTGTTAAGTTTTTAAAAAACTAAATAATGATTGCCTACAGTGGAAACTAGTATAAAAAAAATATAAGAATTTTAATTAACTAAAGCATTTTAATTTCAATACAAAATGTTTGTTTTTACTTAAATTTATTTTAATAAAATGATTAATTGTCAAAACGCAATGACAATTTCCAGGTTGTTTCTGAACATATCACACTAGTACTTCGCACTTGCACTTTCCCGAATATATTTTAGTGCGCACTATTTATAGCACTCTAATGTTTTTCGGACTAAAAATTTGTGACTGTTCATAAATCTTTAGGAATAGAATAAGTGCTACATAAGTAAACATTTTTGTGAAGGTTATAATATATTAATAGATATACTTTGGTTATAACATTTGTGAAGATTATAAAAATGTGCACTATAAAAATTTCAAGATAAAAATATGCTTTATTTATAGTAATGTTTATTCTATCCCGATAGAATTCTTAACTGTCGCAAATTTTTAGTTCAAAGAACACTAAAATGCAATAAATAGTGCGCAACATAATTATTTCGGGAGGTACTAGTACGATTCTTTCGAAAACAGCTTTAATTTGATGTAGAATTGGTACCTCAGCGATAAAACTAAGCAGCGGAATTTAGGCTATTTTATCACCGTCGTGAACGAATTCTGAATGAATAAAATAGAATGAATTCTGGGCAGTCCAATTTATATATTATTATGTGCGTACATTATTTATATGAATTTTGACATTTCGCCACAAAAACTCGCTCTACTTCTGTTTTCCAGTCTGCAATGTGAAAAAAGTATTTAAAAATAAATGAAAAGTAGTAATCAAATATGCAAAATACTTTAACATTGAATAGTAACGATATTATTGTTTTAATAATATTATTGTGAGAGTTTTTGACATAACGTAATTCATTCTGTCATTATTGAAGTGCAGCAAATTTTTTTTATAAAAATTTGACAGTTATTGGAAAGTTTATTAGAAGAATTGTACAAGTTGGGAAGAAATAAAATTTTTCTAATATAAAAAATTCAACTTAGGAAAAATCAAAATAAACTTGTTATTATTCCAAAAAAATATTTTTATGAAAAGAATCTAATAAAAGGACACACTTTGTCAGTATAATAGATTTTAAACTTTTTATAAAGAATAAAAAAGTTTCCAATTGATTGAAATATAATGGCGGATGTTGTGGTACCTGTAACTGTAGAAAATGAGGTAATAATATTAATTAAGAATAAAAGACTACATATTTAGAAATGCCATGAAACATTTTTGTTGAGAAATTCAGATAATTCAATGTAACTTATAAAAAGATGTAATTCTCATATCCTATGGCTCAACGAAAGTTGCCTCTGACATACTTATCAGTTTTTTTTTCTATATTCATAAGTGAAATTTGATAGCAAATTGTCAACCTTTCACATTCTACGTATGAATTTTTTAATTAGTTCAATTTTACATAGTAATCAAGCGCAAAAGTAGATGTTAAATTAGTAAGCACACATTAATTAAATATACATAATTAGATCTCTGAAAATTGAATATACATATTTTTAAAAAAAAAGCTCATACTTAATATTTAACCTTAAAAAACTGTAATTTGTCTTTCACTTTTTGTCTGGACTACTACATATATTCTTTCTCCATACATGTACATAATATTTAACTCAATATTATGGGCAAATATTAAAAATTTTTATTTTTTCTTTTTCAAGGCTGTCCCAGATTCCCCATCCAGTGGGGCAGACTTAGAAAAGCAGCATTCTTTTGAAAAATCTACAACGACCACATCACATCACCATGATTCAGAATATGACACCGCTAGTGACTTAGAAGGTGGGGAAGAAGATTATGATGAAGAAAATGACGAGAGTGGCGATGAGGATGATAAGGATGAAGATTTGGAAGGTTCTGGCTCGGAAACAGGTAGTGAATATGATGAAGAAGATGAAGAAAGGCAACGTGGTGATGGACAAGAACAAATTGATAACGTCAAAAAAGTTGATGAAGATCGTAGTAACCCCCAGTATATACCTAAAAAGGGTACATTTTATGAGCATGATGACAGAACAACTGACGAACCGTATGCACATATTCCACATTCTAATGCTTTATATTGTGTTTATGTTTCATATTCTTCTAGTGAAGTAGTAGAAATATCCAAAAGTACTGCAGAAGGTAATTGCGAAAATGCAGCAAAAGCAACAGTTCCAACAATTTCTTCAGCCTCTAAAACAATGAAAAAGTGGCAACCAGCTTCTGTAGTAGATCGATGGTCTCATGATAGATATGATGAAAATGAGCAAGCACCAAAATCTAGAGCTGAACTTGTATCTGCCTATGGGTAAGAAAAACTTTTGAAAAGTTGAAATTTTTTTACAATTTTTATCACAGATACGATATCAGAAGTGAAGATGGACCGCCAAGGGCTCGTAGACGTCGCCGTTACGGTCGGGGCCCAAGCAAATATAATCGCAAATGGGAAGATGAAAGCGCATACATAAAAAGTAATACTCATCGTAGACCACCTAAAGCTGAAGATTTTCCAGCTTTAAATGAAAAGAAGAGCCGCAGAAATTCGCGAAAACATCGTGATGAAAAAGAAAATCGTTTCGATAATAAAAATTTGGATAGTCAGTTGTCAAAGCGAGAAAATTTCGGCAGAGCGGATAAAACGAATAGAAATAGTAAAAATTATAGATCTGGAACATCTGGGAGTAGTAACAACCAAAATAGAAGAAGTATGGAGTTCAAAAACAAAAACCGGGGAATTGACGAGAAGGTACACTTCGATAATAACCGTCATGCTGATGAAAATAATGTGCGGATCCAACCAATTCCAGCAAACCGAAACTTCGACGATTATACCAATAAGCAAGTTGATACTGTAAGCTTAACTAAAATAGTATAAATTTTAAATTTAAAATAAAATAAACATATTAATAATTTAACAATAAAAATAATAACGGAAAATCTAATTTAATTAAGCAGAGGCAACAAATTCAACAACATCAACAACCGTCGATTTCAACTCAAGCATCTGAACGTTTTAATAATGGGTTCAATGATAATCTCATAAATTACAATTCGCAAAATCATGGTAATTCACCTGGTTCCAACCAATTTTTATCAAGAGATATGAAAGACCCAAAATTAAATCAAAACCATGTTGCAAATCAAACAAAAACATCCTCACAAATTTTATCGCAATCTGTACAAAATAAGCAATCAAATATACAAAATAATCAATTGCAGACCAGACTGCAACAAGTGCAAAATAGAAATGATCCAAGTCATGTCGGTAGTGTTCAAATGCACTCTTTGGCTTCGCAACAGCAATCTTTACATCAACAAGGTTCTAGCTCTTCTAATACACTGAGTCAAAATATAATTCCTGGTATGATATTTAATAAATGTTGACTATATAAAATATAAGGTTTATTTTTTAGCTGATTTAAATCAACAGCCAGAGCAAGGACGTCCTAAACGTTACTCTAGTCTTAGGCAAAGAAATCAAACCGATCAAAGTGTCATGCAGCAAATAGTTTCTCCCACCCCTGCAGGTTTGCCAAATGCTTCACCACATCAACAAATAGATCAACATAGTATACAACAGATGCATTTACAGCATGATCATGTGGCTGTAGCAGCTGCAGCAGCGCATCAGCAACAACAAGCCTTACTGCAGGCAAATTTAATACAGCTTTATCAAGACAATTTGCAAGCACAGCAAGTTGGTGTTCCAGCAATAACTAACCTAAATCAAAGCAAAACCACAGCGTCAACTAATGTTCCACAAACATCGCAATTTCCTGGAATAGTTCATAATTCGCAATTTCCTTCACAGCCAGCAGCTGGCTCTGCTCCAGCATATTATTCCCCTGGACCAAATGAATATGCTGTTGGACCACCAAATGTTCCTGGTACAGCGCCACAACCACCATACGCTATACCATATGGCCCTCAGACACAACCCCCACCAAATGTTCAACAGGCAACTCCATCCCAAACTGCACAACCAAATTCATTGTCAGCAAACCCGACTGCCCCATTTACGAATTATCCGCCGCCAAACTCTAGCTCGCAGTATCCAGCAACTGTATCTCCAGCACAACAATTTAATACAGTTGGAGGTACAACCTATTTCGTACCACATACACAACCAACGCAAAGACAAAGTTCGTTGCCGCAACGCAGACCAACAAATGCTATACCTATTTTACCCCCATCGGATAAAAACAAATCCAGTAATTCTCAGCAAACAAATGGTAGTAGTCTTGAGAAAGAAAATAATAGCAATGCACCAGCTGTTGGAAGTGTGGAAAATATTGATCACATATTAGACAATATGTTTGTTCAAAGACAGCCTTTTCAGCCTGCTATACAACAAAGCTCTTCGCAAACATCAATAGTATCCAACGCATCAACTACAGCATCAACAACATCGTCTCAGGGTAATAATACTCAAAAAGCTTCAGAAAATAGAATTGATGAAGCAATAAAGGTTAGTTTATATTGTTTTAAATTAGTGAAATATAACCTTGAAATATTAAACCTATTTTCGCAGAACTTGTCCATTGTTGATTCTGATTCAACAATTAATTTAAGTGAAAAATCTGGTGATAATTCGGCTAGTGAAGCTAAAACAGATAAGTCATCTAACATACAACCAGAAGGTTCTTTAGACATAAGAGATCCTAAGTAATTAAAAATAAATTATAGTTTCGAATGCTTTTTTAATATTATTGAAGATAAATATTAATCATTTAATTGAATATGTTTGTGCTAGTTCTAAGCGAATTGTAAAGAAATTATGAAATAAAAATATTTTATTGGAAAATTGAAGCAAGTAAACATTCAACTCTATTGAAAAATTGAGTTTTGCACACATATTGCAAATATATATACATATATTTAATATAATATTAAGTTTTTGCAGTATGTACATATGAATACGTTTGTTATTGATTTGCAATATGTTCTGCGTTTATGAAAATCTCTAATATCCTCTCATCCTAAAGCCGAAAAGTACACATCAATATCCTATGTTCCCAAAGGTCTAAGAATATTTTATATGTTTTAAAAAACAATTCAGGTTTAAATAAATAATTTTTAAACAGAAGTTTTATTTCTCTAAAAATTGGCTACTTTAAATTATGTATTGCGGACCATAAAAGATTTAAATTTAATTTGCAGTTTATTTTTCATTGGTTGGGTTTTTCCAGAAATTGCACAAAACCCGAAAATGAAAAAAACATTTGTTTTGCAACACTAAAGCAAAAAATTATGTACACTTTCTACTTTTTTCCAAACATTCCTATCCATGATTTTAGGAAATTTCCATCAAATGGGAAATAAAAATTTTCTAAAAACTATTCTTCAAAAATTGTTAAAATTAGTAAAAATAAAAATAATTGCTTCACTTTAAATTGTTTTCACATTTTATTGAATACAAATAAGCAGCTTACATAAATTATTTTTTCTTCGATACACCCACAGTTCTACCGCGGCGACCTGTTGTTTTTGTATGTTGACCACGGACACGGAGACCCCAAAAATGACGCATTCCACGATGTGCGCGAATTTTTTTCAATCTTTCTAAATCTTCTCGAAGTTTAGAATCCAAATTCGAAGAAGTTAGTTGCGTATATTTACCATCAATTATATCTTTTTGTCTGTTCAAAAACCAATTAGGGATTTTATACTGTCTTGGGTTCAAAATTATTGTAATAATTTTCTCTACCTACAATTTAAAAAAAAATCAATACATTTAATATTCTTATTTTTAAAATCAATTACCTCCTCTTCTGTACACTCTCCAGCTCTTTTAGTGAGATCAACATCGGCTTTTTTCAAAACAATATTAGCGTATCTACGTCCAACACCCTTAATAGCTGTCATAGCGATGGTAACTTTGCGTTTGCCATCAATATTTGTACCCATAATACGAAGAATATGTTGGAATTTCTCTGGGATTACTAACGACTAAAATTAATAAAATAAATTGTATTTAGTAAATAGCGTTTGATGTTCTATCTTTTACATAATATAACTACTTATTCTAATCCAAAAGTTAAGCATTGTTATTTGATTTTGGTAATATTTTGAGATTCTTAAATAACACATACCATTTTGCCTACTATTTACTTGAGAGGCGAATTGTAAAAAAGATAGAAAAGCGGAAATACGGGTTTGACATTAATTGATACTTATTGTAGTTTCTCATTATGACATTGAAACGCGTTCAGATTTTATGGCTTAAGGAGCTGTTTAGACACTATGTGTAAAGTAGACTTACTAGGGTTTAATAGATTAATTGTTTAAGAACATAAAAAATGTTCATTTATCATAACCATATTCTTAAATTTATGTTCAAAAAACATAAATTTAAAATTATGGTCATGATAATTGAAACTGCTTTCAGATTATATTTTTCTTTTTAATTTGCACCTTAAATATTTATGTTTTTTTCATTTAATCACTTTGGAACATAAAATAAACCAAAACAAAAAGTAGCAAAGAAAAATAAGTACATACATTTTGTTGAGAGTTATAAATTTAATGTTAAAGGGTATAAGTTAGCGACCATTTCAAAAAGAGTCGCATACAGTTCATGCAGGTGCGGATGAACCTTGGTTACATGTGGGCGCAATGATTTTACATTCAATTTTAATTAATTAAGTTATTATTAAGTGAGTAAGTGAGTAAGTTATTTTATGTTCTTTTTTTTATTTCATTTAATTAAAAGTTTTTATTACAGCAAAATTTTTATATTGTATTTGTTTTTATATTGAGAATGTTGAAATGTTACAAAGCTTTTTAAATAATGAAGCGAAAAATTAGCTGATTGAGAAGAATTAAAATTTAACTGAGTTTTTCTCTTCTGAAGATATTTAATATATTTTATTGTAATCGAACACAAAGTGTCTGTTGAACGAAACCAGTTAAGCACTGTTCTTGGTTCAGTTTTTCAGGGTTGTACATAAGTAATTTGTCACTTACCAATAGTGTGTTGTCAAATATCAGCTGCTATAGAAAAAATTATGATTTAAAAATATATACGTCCATAAATTCAATATTAGATTTTATATCTGCATTGCATAAATATGACAACTAATTTGAGTGTAATTGAATATTATGGTGAACAAAATAGAAAAACTTGTGGCTATTGTAAAGGAAGTAAATCTTGTTTTAGCCATGGTACGTATTTAAAATATTAGCTAGATTACTTAAGTCAACATTTCTATATTAGAAAAAAATGTTTTAAAGTTGGGGTAACATAAAAGATATATAGAGTATGGGGTACCTATATTAATAGATTCTGCATTTTATTTAATAGTCCTTTATGTTCAAACAATGCATTTAAACAGTTACATCTTAATTAATACTGAAAAATTTAAATACTGAGTAAATTTATTATTGCACAGGAATGCATGCCTATGCTATGACAACTCAAGATTACCAAGATCTCATAGATCGGGGATGGCGTCGTTCGGGAGAGTACTGCTACAAACCTAATAACAAAATTACGTGTTGCCCAAGTTATACAATTAAATGTGACACTGAACAATTCAAACTCTCAAAATCTCAAAAAAAAATCCTTAAAAGAATGAGCAAGTTTTTAAAAGATGGAATAAAAAATGCAAGTGGCGAAAGTTCTTCTAAGGTCGATGCTGTCGAAAATTGTGATTTACCAAATGAAATAGTTGAAATACCAGATATTGCAAGGCGAGAAATTAACAGCGAAGATATAGCTAATGTTACGAAACAAATAAATCCAACGTGCGATATAGCACTAAAACGATTTAAATACAACGCGAAAGATTTTAACCCCAAAGAAAATAATGAAAAAAGTAAATTTCTTTTCTTTTTTCATACACCATAAATAGTTTTTAAAACAAGAATTAATTTTTTATATTTTTGATTTAAAATAAAGGCGTTACAGATTTAAACAAAGATCATATTAAAAAACCAAGCATGAAAGCCAAACAAATTCGGTTGGAAAGGAAAAAGGCAAAACTGGAAAGTAGAGGATTATCCTTAGAAAGTGAAAGAAGTAAGTTGAAAAATCAGGAAAAATCTTTGAACGACTTCATCCACAACCCTTCTGAAAGTGATCGTCACAAATTAAAAGTAAGTAAAAATAAAGATTATATTTATCATTTCGCCTAGAATTTTCTAGTTATGTTTTATTTACCAAAATACTTTCAAACATGTAATTTGTTTTTAAATGTGGTCGTTATTCCAGATTTTGTTAGTACCTTCACAAAAGGGATCTACACCTCAAGTATTAGATCTCTATCAAAAATATCAAGTAACAATACATAAAGATCCACCACACAAAATAACTAAATTCCAGTTTGAAAGATTTTTATGTGCAACTCCTTTAAAGGTGATTATAGATATTTTAAAATTTTCTTTTTCGGTTTTTTGTTCTTTTTGTTTGCCTCAACACAAAACAAGTAGTTGAAATTAGTTGAATGCAAAAGCAGAGAATGTTTAAGTCATTTGAGAGAGACCTATGCCTTATACGAAAAGTATCAAACAATAATTCACAATGACCCACCCGAAAGTTTAACAGATTTTCTTGAGTTTTTGCAAAAGTCACCAATTAAGGTATAAATTCGACCAAGCAAATTTTAAAAAATCATTAATGCATTGTTTATAATATTCGCAAAGGAAAATTAATTTTGTTTGGCTAAAATCAAATTGCTTGAAAACTAACATTTGCTTATTAATATTTTAAATTTAAGAACTATAAACCAGAAAACGGGCCTGCAGACGGGTATGGGTCGTTTCATCAGCAGTATTGGTTAGATGATAAATTGATTGCAGTAGGTGTTGTTGACATTTTGCCATATTGCGTGAGCTCTGTATATTTCTTTTATGATCCTGATTATAGTTTTCTATCTTTGGGTACTTACGGATCCTTAAGGTAACTTTGAAAACTTTTAAAGCTTAAAATTTATTTCATTATTTTTATATGGTTTAGAGAAATCGAACTAGTTAAAAAGTTGTCTGAAACTGTTCCACTGTTGAAATATTATTATATGGGATTTTACATACATTCTTGTCCAAAAATGAAATATAAAGGAAAGCTAACAGCATCTTATCTTCTTTGTCCTGAAAAGTATTCTTGGCATTTACTTACTGATGGTAAGAAAATTTTAATTTTTTGTTACTAACGATTAATTACTAAATTTTCTATTGTTAATAGAAATTTTCGATTCAAAATTAACGAAAATTTGTTCCCTTTTTCTTTGCTTCTTCAAACAATTAACGTTAATTTAAAAAAAAATAGATTTCTTGCAATTTTATGAAATCTTTATAAATAGAGATAACTTGAACTTCATGGTCATAATAAATATTATATAGTTTGTTTTATACTAGCAGAAATGAAACATAAATTATGTAATTTATTAAATTACATAAATTGTTAATCTCATATATGAATAATAAGGGAATAATTTTCTCCCATAATTTTAATAAGTTGTTGTTAAGCTTTTTACTTGCAAATTTATAGCTTAAAAAGTGATTTTATATATTTAGACAGGGTGATTTAAAAAGATATAAAACGACATATACCATTGGTTAGAGCAGAGGCTCCCAAACTTTTCCTACTTTTTTCGAAAGATTTAAATTTCTAACAGCAGCAAAGTACACTTATGATGTGAGAGAGTTAAATAAAAAAAACTTATTGAAAAAAAGTGAAAAATTTGTTTTTTTTTTTCAAATTGAAGTTCAAATTTTTAGTATTCCGAAAGTACATAAAACACAAAATCAAATAACATGTTGATTTTAAGATCTTTACTAGGCCTTTCAAAAACTGGTTATTTGAAGCCCTATCTTTTTCGAAACGGAAATTATAAGCAAAATAGTTTGAACTAATAGATATTACGTGAAAATTCGTTAAAAATCGTTCTAGCTCGGAAACCCTTGACATTTGGCACTTAGTCCAGAACAAAAATAAAATAACCTGTATAAAGTATAAAATCACTTTTTGAGCTATAAATTGCAAGTAAAGAGCTTAACAACAACTTATCAAATATAATAATTTCATTCAATCTCAATTTATTCTTTTTTTTTTTATTATATGATATATATATTATAAATATATATGTAAATATACCTATTAATAAAATATATGTATTAATGTTTATCATTAGAAATAAAAGAAAAATTGGAACAAAAAAAATATCAAGTTTTCAATAATGATGTCAATTTCAAGGATGAAGAGGAATTCACTCGCAACGATTTAAATGAGGTTTTAATTCTATTTCAAAAGAATTCATACGCATCTTATTTGGAATTCAAACAAGTATGTTTAAATATGTACTAGGTATTCAATCATTATTTTTTGAAAATAATCTTCATATTTTCAGATTAAAAGCAGAAATTACGATAGAGAAATTTTAGAATATGGAAACCTCGTCGGAAAATCTTGTGCACATCGAATGTTATTTTTGGCTTTTTAGTTAAAATAATTGTATTTGATTAATTTAGTGAAACAAAAAATAATTAAATGGTAAATTAACCATTTAATTGTCATTAAATCTATTATATAAATAAATATACTTAAATTGCGTTAATATTGATTAGAAAACACGTCTTTTTATAACAATGAGAAAACGGAGTACGATTTCTCCTACTTGATAATTAAATGTTTGCATATATTCATATAACGACTGTTAACAAATCTTTGTGAAAAAAGGCTTGTGTTGAAACTTATGATTTTTCTTCATGTTGTAATGTCTTTTATGTTTGTTTTTTACTTATTTATGTCTCATTTTATCTTTTTTTTAAATGTCTCCTTTGAGGCCATCAAGCTGAGAGAGCAAATCAAAAATAAATTCCAAATTTATATGGAGTTTAAATGAAAGGTGCGTCGGAATTTATTTATGTAAAGGAAATTGATCAATATTTTTGGCTTAACTGATTCTTCATATTTTTTTAAATTTATAATTTAAATTTTAAAAAAATCGATTGGAAAAATCTATCTGAAAAATGCATGAAAAAAAAAATTGCAATTTTTAACGCAGACAACTTTTCTTATCTTCCAAATGGAAGGGTACTGAATTACAGAATAAAATTTTTGAATAAGAAATAGAATTTAAAAAGAAATTAAAGAGAAAAACAAGAAAATAATAATTATACAATTCAAAAATTTCACTTTATTATTAATTTTATCCAAAACATAAAATATTAAGAATTGTTTTTGTAATTTTTTCCGATTCAAAATTTCGGAAAATAATTTCAGCTTGGCATTATGTAAAATAATACAATGTGTTTGAAAAAAAAGGATACATTCTATTAAAATTTAAATAGAAATTTTATTTTTTTTTCGATCACATGTAAAATTTTATCATATTTTACATGGTCAGTCAATGGGACATTTATTAAATAAAATATTGAAGTCGAATTAGTTATTACCTTAACTTCTGAGCAGTTCAAAGCTTCCTCAATTGAGTTAAAAGGAAAAATTTTCTTTTCATAACATAATATCTATTGTAATTTAAATTTCTTTATTGCTTAAAACTATTGAATATTTACTTTAGCCCAATGCATAGCATAGTATACATTTTGTAATTCTTTTTAATTAATTTTTGTATTTTATTTCAAATAGATTTTCTACATTTTTTCTGATGTTTTATTGAGCAATTGTTCAATATAATTTATTATTTGTGTTACATTGTTAATTCTTTCACGTTAAGAATTCATTGTTAATTCTTAACGTTGCAACATTATTAATTTTTGATCTTAACATTACTAGATCATAATCGTCTAAAGGTAGTTACCAAATCGCAATCGATTTCCAGCCGGCCATTCCAAAGCAATTAAGAGATCTTTTTGATCTGGAAGGCTTCAAATTATTTAATATACTTTCAATTTGATTAATTTCATATTTCAAGTATGGAATTATTATATGTCCATTATTTTGAGTATTATTTTAATACTTTTTATTACTTATTTTATTACTTTTTTTATTTGACTTATTATATTTTCGTATTCTATTTATTATATGTATGATTTTAAGATTAAAAAATTTTTATAAAAGAATATGATGTTACATCTTCATAATTATAATTTGTGATATAATAAATTTTAAAAAAATATTTGCTTATAATATATATTAATTACTTTTTTTTCTTTATATAATAATAATATTGCGACCAGCTTTTATTCTCACATACAATATATTTTCTTTTATTCATTTATATTTATAAATTTAATTAATTTTTTTTTGTTCTTAATTTTTTTTATAATATTTAGTTTTATTTATATTCTAGGATAATAAAGTTTATTGAAAAATTCTACTTTTTTTTATTTTATTTTGATTTTTGTATTTCAAAATATCATCCATTAGTTTTTCTAATTCTTGGATTAAATCTATAAAATTTTTCTTACTTATTTGGATAAAAATTTTTATTTTAATTTATTTTTATCTTATTTTGAAATTTAAAACAGAGAGTATTTTTTTATTTGCTTGTGGCATAATTGATTTTTTTTTGTTCTCTCTTATGGAGGTATTAAATAATTCTTGTAATAACTACTATGTAAATTAATTGGTTGATTGAAATTTGAACGAGTAATTATTGCTAAAATTCTTTTATTTCATTATACTGACAAAAATTTTTTTTTAAACTATTCTAAATTAATCAACTAGTGTTTTTAATCAGTACTTATATTGATTATTGGTACGAACTTATAATATAACTAATGTTTTAACATAATAATGTTGAGTGCGTGATGAGTTTCAGCTGTGGTATAAGACTGCGGTGAAACCGCCGGGGGCCTCGTTTCCTACTCACAATAAGTTAAGTTGTTTATATTTTTCGAATTTTTTTGTTGGAACCTTTTTTTTCATGTTTTTGTTTTTTTATTGTATTATACATTTTTTTTATAATTTATTATGCATATTTATTATTATACATATTATTATTTTATAATTACATATTTATTATTATACATATTATTATTATATAATTATTTATTATTATACATATTTTTTTAAAATTTTTAATTTTATAATTTCACACAAAATTTATTATATTATTATTTTTTATTTATTTATTTATTTATTTAATTTTTAATTGACACTTATTGATCCCTACTCGGGCGCCAATTAATATTCTGTTTTTTTTATATTTTGAAAAAATAATTATATTTACCTTAGAGAATATTTTTACATCTAACTTATTAAACACTTAGCACTATTTTCGTATATTATTATGTATTGAAAAAAAGTTCTGATTTACAATAGTTAATTTTATTCTTCGTGTTCTCTTATTAATAAAATCTCTTATTCTAATTATCTAATAAAATATGTTATTCCAATTATTAATATTAGGTTGTGGTTTACAAAATTTTTATGAGCAATTTTTTCGGGCTATGATAAATTTCATGAAGAAATGCATTATTCACGAAATGCAATATTAAATAGTGAAAACAAGAATTACACTTGTCCATGAAGTGTAATTTGAGTGAAAGTTAAAGTATTTTAACAATAACAAAATTATAATTAAATTTGTGATTAACTAATGTGATAAATGCAGGAGTGAACCTGAGGTATATTCTTAGTTCTTGGAAAATAGCGAAAGTTATTAGGAAAACCGAGGAAACCCTTGAAGGAGGCAAAATTTTTGAAAAATTGTTGTTAACAAGGCTGATGTCGATAATAGAAAATAAGAAATTGATTCGAACCCATCAGTTTGTTTTTAGAACAGAGCATGTAACAATTGACCAAGTACAAAAAATAACAAATATTGTGGAAAAGGCGTTAGAAGGCAAATATCTTCGATAATATTTCTGTATGTGGTCCACGAGTTCGATAAGATTTAGCACGACGGTTTATTATTTAAACTTAAAAAATTTATACCTTTGCAATTTGTGAAGTTTTTTGAATCATATTTATCTGACTGGTTTTTTCGAATCAAACAGGACGAGGAGTACTCCAGACTACGAGAAGTTGAGGAATCAACAAAAAAAATACGAAAAAATAAAGCTAGCTTAAAGTAAATCTGAACATGTAAATTTCAGAAACAAAAATCTAGTAAACCACAATTGAATTTGAATGGTGCTAAAGTATCAATCCAGAACACAGCGAAATACCCAGGTATGACTTTGGATGTCAAGCTCAGAAGAAAAAGCGTGAAGAAAAGAATAGAATAAGAAAACAGATTTAGAGAAAACTATTAGCTCCTAAATCGTAGATGTAGATTAGCAACACACAATAAGGTATTGATATATAACCAAATAATTAAACCTACATGGACGCATGGCTTGCAGCTATGGGGTTGTGGCAAGCAGACACACACCAAATGAATACAAACTTTCCAGAATAAGGTCCTTCGTAATATGATGAGTGCTCCGTGGTATATGCGCACTTATGACATTCATAGGGATCTAGTTGTCGCTCAAGTAAGTGAGGAAATCAGAAACTATACCATGAAACATAGGACGCGTTTGGAACATCATGTCAATGACGAGAACTCTCGACTTATAGAGCAGAGGGTTTAGACAAAAAGATTAAACTCGATTTGGCTTAACGAGATCTCGCGATTTAGCCCAAAGAGCTGTAACAGTTTGACAAGTTTTTGATAGTTTATGACAATCCAGGTGCATTTTACAAGGTCTCCTCCTATGGGGGAAGTTAGAAGAAACACCAGGGAAGTTTATATAGAAAGAAGGTCTAAAACATACAACAAAAGTGAAACCTCTGAAGATAATGTAAAAGGCCCGTAACACCATGGATCAATGGTCGATCGCGTATAAGCGACTTGGAGAACCTGTGTAATGAGCTGAAAGAAGAGATCTGAAAACTTAAGAAAGAAAATTTAAGATTATTGAGATAGCAGAATTCAGTTTCAAATGGCACCGAGAAAGACAAAATAGGTGTGATCATGTATGAAAAAGATGAGGAAGAGTTGGCTAGAGAAAGCGATTGGATTCTTAAAACTCAAAGAAGAGATTCTTAAAACCAAAAGAAACTCAAAGAAGAAAAAAAACAACAGTTCACCAGAAATGGAACCGACACTAGAAATTAATAGCACCAAGGTAGGGAAATCTCCAGTAAATGACCAAGGTAGTTGAATGTTCAACTAAAAAAACATAAACCTCCGCTGGTAATAGTAAGTAATGTAATTATTTACACGCAACTAATAAGGATCCTCAAAGAGGAAAGTATTAACATGAAGGTAAACATGATGAACAACAATCAACTAAAAATAAATGTTAAAAATTAAAATGAATATAGACAATTAACTAAAGCTGTTAATAAGGTCAAAATGGAATGTCATACTTATGAAAATAAATTGACGGGGCCAATTAAAGTAATGGCCAGAAACCCACATTCGTCATTCACAGGATATTAAATTTAAACTCATCCAAAGGGGTTTGAAATGCGTAGATGTGATAACTAAAATTAAAAAAATAAAAGAAAATGATGTAAATACTATTAAAAAGTTGCTCCGTTACACCGAAGACATAAATAGAATATATAAAATAGAATATTTTCAGCACAAGAGAGTAAAAGTTGAGCACCTAAGAAATAATGGATCCATCCCGCAATACAAGACTCGACAGAGGTTCAGTCATACACAAAGGTTTTGCCAAAGAGGATCTAAATGCGTTTAATGTGCTGGTAATCATATGACGACAGAATATAATACGAAATATAATTTTCAGGCCAAGTGCGCAAACTGCAACGAGGCATCCTGGTAGTTACCAAGGTTGTTTAGTAGCTAAGGAATTGCAAAAAAAGGAGAATGAAAAGGAATCGGCCTAAGCGGGTCCTGGGTAATCATGAAGGGGCCCCAAGAACGAATAATGCTTTTACATCAAATAAGGTAAAAAACTGTGTTACATACTCACATGTGGCTTCCAAAATGGTAGAAAATTATATAGATTAAAGACCTAAGAAAGGCATGAATAATAAAGAAACAATACAATGCAAAAACCTAAAGAAATTGACGGTAGCATATTGCAAATTATGCAAGACGTGCTACAAAAAATTGACGAAGTCGATTATAAGGAATTGACACCGAAGCGATTTTTGAAAAGTGTCAGTAAATAAAATACGAATTGGTACGTGAAACGGTAATGGCGTTCTAAGTAGGAAGCACGAATTGGAGACTTCTTAGAGATAAAAATATCGATGTATGTCAGAAATTCACTTGGAAAAGACTTGGATGTATATATGCTGTAGGGCAACCACTCAAGAAGGAAGTGCTATTTTAATTACGGAAAGCATGAAGCATGATGAGGAATCCAAAATAGAGACGGAGGGGGTTCAACTTGTTATGGTTAAAGTTGAATTTACCAAGCAGGACTTCGATGTTGGTTCATTATATTGTCCACCGAGAACATAAAAAATGATATTTTTAAGCATCTGCTATGCCCGGGGGAAAATAGATTCTTACTGGGAGGTGACTATAATTCCAAACAATTGAATTGGAGCTTTAGATTGATCTCAATTAGAGCTAAAAAAACGAAGAAGGCATTTGGGAATCGGATTGTTTCTATCATTCTACTGGCAGTCCGAATTATTGGCCTACTGATGCTAACAAAGTCCAAAATTTTAATGACTTTTTTTTATCTAAAAGAATTTTTTGAACTTGGAAGATAATTTTAATTTGAAATCCGATCACTCTGCTGTAATATTGACGCTTAGTGAGAAAATACCAAACAAACGGAGCCTATTTACTTTAGTGAATAAAACCACGGATTGGGTAGGATTCAAACATGATGTTATTAGACATATAAATTTTAATGTTGAACTGCAGACAAGAAATTAACTGGATTTTGAGGTGGGGGGTTTTATCAAACTGATACAGAGAGCAATCTGGAAAAATACAAGATTCTCTTAATTGAAACCTGTATCAAGTAATTATCCTAAAGACAGAACTGATTTAATAGTACAAAAACAAAGGGCTAGATGTAAATGGCAAGAGTCACCTAGACGACAAAATGATTCTGAATAGACTTTCTCAAACACTCAAAGAAAGATAGGAAATTTTAAATTAGTATTATACGAGAATTAAAGGGCGAATTATTCATAGTGGAAAGCAACGACGAGTACCAAGAAACTGATAAAGCAAATCCGTCCACTGAAAAAAGAAGATGGATCATGGGCAAAAAGCAACAGGGATAAAGCTGAACTATTTGCTGGTCATTTAGAAGGAATTTTTCCACCAAATTATTTCAATTCTAATGCTTGTTTTGTAGAAGAGTTTGATCTGGATGAAAGAATTATGACTTTATTTAATGAAAAAAAAATTTGCCAATCGAAAAAATCGCTTAAACAGAATGGTTATGATTCTCATTAAAATCGAATCAATTCTAATGCTTGTTTTGTAGAATATTTTAATCTGGATGAAAGAATTATGGCTTTATTTAATGAAAAAAAAATTTGCCAATCGAAAAAATTGCTTAAACTGAATGGTTTTGACTCATTATTGCTGAGATATTAAGAGAATTGCCGAGAAGGGCTATGACATTTTTGAAAAAATTGATAAATGCAGCAATTAACCTGAGGTATGCTCCTAGTTCTTGAAAGGTAGCGGAAGTTATTAGGAAAACTGGGGTAACCCTTGAATGAGGCAAATTTATATAGACCAATTACAAATATATGAACCAATTACTCTACAAATATTCTATACTTCATTTTAAACATTGATAAACTAATTCACACTCGTAACGTGGCGGTGTCTTATAAATAAAACTAAACTAACATCTCTAAATGATTCGCGACGCTGTTACTTGAGCATATTTTTCTAGACCCATGGCAAATCTCCCAAGAGCTCACAAAACTCCGTTCGAAGCATTTGAGGCTTAACCGGGACTCATCCTCTTCCATGCTTCCATGACGACACTCTAAACCTTACCCATCCTTTTCAGATTCGCTCCAACCACCAGTCTCAAGTCCCGACGACTCAACGAGAGCAGGTCTCTCCTCCGCTCCCTGAAGGGCTCACAAATTTCTTGGAATACGCCATTCCTAGGCGCCGGCTCCATCAGTAATTTTTAACACCCTTAATCCAGCTATCAAAGATCTGTAGGCTTGAGAGTGATTGTTAATAAAGCTAAAGGTATTGTTTTGGATTAATACTAATGTTATCATGGTTCTAAATATTTTAAATGTACCTCCATGATTTTTCAAAACTACTATTATTAAATTTAGTCGTTCATCATTGTTTTTCCTATTAGTTTTACCTATATTTTTAGGAAAATTCTTAATATTTTAATCTTAATTGGCTCGGTATAGCTTCCTTGTTTACATGTTTTTTTCTTTTTGCTGATGTATTGAATAAAACATTTTTCAAACAATAATCAGATTCTACCAAATGATCTGGACACACTTGTACAGCATTAATAGAACACTATTTATTTATAGCACAAGCTTGCACCACTTTGCACACATTATTCCATCTTTGGGAAGCTAAGTTTTTTTAATTAGTTATCTGATTAAAAAACTTAAATAATTTGCTTTTCTGGTTTTTTACCTTCAAAATTCTTATAGCTTTTATTTTATACTTTCCTATTTCTAATTTTTTTTTAAAAAAGTGTCACTTTAACTTAGAACTTAGAAGTTACATTTAGGTAACTTCTAAAACTTAATTTATAATTCTTTTTTTCTGAATTACTTAATTTTTATTTTTTTTCTTTATCTGAACAATTCTATCAAACAAATGCATTCAATTGTGTCCAATAACGTCATCTGATAAAGTTGTTAATTTGGCAATTCATTTTGTGCATTGCCTTGTTTACGTATGACGAGCTTATCATTTTAAAGACTTTTACAAAACTGTCTGATTCAATTTGTTAATGTTACTGAAACAGTTTAACAGTTTATGTATTATTACAGTTTATCCTAACTAGCCCCAGAAGTCTATTAAGTAAACATTTTTAATTTCAAAATTACCAAACCAATAAAAAAGATTACAAGCAATCAATATATTGGAAAATCCGATAAACTGAAAGTAAAATGCTAATCAAAACCAGATTTTCAAACTTAAATTGGTGATGGAGTTCATCTTATACGTTATTCAAACAATTTTTGAAATAATGGACATATGAAAAAATAGTTTATGAAAAATATGTCTCAACACATCAATTGTGCATCAATATCAAAATTAAAAGAAAAGTATCGTACGCCTGCTTATTAAAAATTATCAGAAATTTACAGAAATATGGTGTAATGGTACTTAGATATCACATAAGTATAAACAATAGTTTGATTTTTATAAGGAACTCATTTAATACATAATGACTTCTTTGGATATAATACTTAAACATTATAATAAGCTCATTCTTTTGAATAAAAAAAATATGCTTGCATCTTCTCAAAATATTTAAGGAAAGATTAAATATTAAGAAAATATTTTTTATACAAAGGAAACATAAAATACGTTTTTTTACCCGTCAAGACATGTTTTGTAACTGAAAGCGTCTCAAATTCGAAGTAAATGTAGCTTTTGTTTATTCTAAAGAATTAACCAAAAAAAAAGTTTTACACATGTAAAATATTCTTTATTTAATATATGTACATAATATGCAAATATACCTACGTAAATGTGTTTGTATATTAAATACATATCCATGCGTTTTTTCTTTTATTACATATTTACAAATTATTTTAGAATTTAGTTACTTAAAGCAATATCACTATTTTGGAACAGTTTGTTTATTTTCTGGAGCAACCGTTTGACCAGTTTCTAATTCTATTGTCTTATCATCATTTTTTTTATCAAAATTCCATGGTTGAACTGCTGCTGTTCCAAAAATCATGAAAAATAAGGCGGGTGTAATATACACAGCTGAGCCTACAAAGAAAACGTATTTCCACTGTTCTAAAGTATTTTCGTCATGTGTAAAGGAAGCAACGACCAGAGGTGAGAAAAATCCAGGTGTTGTTCCAAAAAGATTTATAACACCATAAAGAGTCCCAGCATAATTAGGTGCGAGATCCTTTAGTTATATAAAAAAATTTTAATAAAATCATTTTTTTTAAATTTATAGAATTAGTTAATTGTACTTGAAACAAGCAAAAGTACCTGAGAATTTTGTAAATTAGTAACAGAAGCTGCCCCATTAAATCCTTTATACATACATTTATATAAAAAAATTTTTAAAGAAAAATTATAACGAAAATTTGTTTTTTGAAAATGCAAAGCAGTTATTCAAAATAATAAAAATGTTATTAAAAATAACATTACCTAATGATAACGTAATAATTGTCACACAAACATACGGATCTCTTCCCACTAAACCAAGCAAAATCAGAAATAAACCCGGTATAATATGAGCTGAAAGTAATATCATTTTATTTTTCACTTACTATGCTTCAAAATAGAAATCTTACAAAAAAGGCAAAATGATTTTCTAAGTTTTGTTGTTTGCAGCCAACTCTTTCTTCTTATAAGATCTGCCACAGCACCAAAACCGAAAGCTAGCAGCAAACGCGCTAAATGTGGTAAACTTGAAAGAAATCCTGCTTTGGCCAATTGAAATTTGAGAACCTAGATATACATACATTATATACATAATTATTTATTACTTGAAGTAAAATTAGTATGTAAATAAAATCTTACCTCACTTAAAAATTTGGGAGCTGCTGTTATTAAAAATGTTAGACCCCACATATTTCCATAATGTAACAATAATAATGCAATGAATGGTAGTGATGTCAATAATTTTAAAAAAGGTGGCCATTTCTACTTTATGTTATTTTAGTAATATGAATTTTAATTTACTGTTCAAAGTAACCTTAGAAAATTTACGTACCCTTTTCTTTGATAAATTTTCCCCTAAAGAAATTTCGATATATTTTTGTTCATCAATACTAATATGTTTGTGCTTAGCGGGAGTGTCGGCAACAACTAAGAACCATATTATGCAAATCGCAAAGGAAAAAATTCCAGAAATATAAAACGCCCAATTCCAGCCCATCGATTCAACGATAACAGCGCTGAGTGGCAATGTTATAACAGTACCGAACGTGCCACCCATTAAAGCTGCTACGAATTTCCCTTTTTCATCTGGTGGGGCCCATTGCGATATAATATTGTGGCAAGAAGGATATGTTGCACCCTAAATTATCATAAAATATTTAATTAAAAGTTATACGTAAAATATTAAAAGTATTGGTTAGTCATACTCCTAATAGACCAATTACAAATCGAACCGCAAAAACAGCTCCCATTCCTAAACTTGCAGATAAAGGAGTTAAAACAGTTAAAATTGCACTTGCTGAGATAAAAAATGAGAAGAAATAAAGTATGTTTGGATTGTACTATACTAATGCAGTATAATAAAATAGAAAATGTTATACCTGCTAATGTTGCTCCAGCTACTGTTTTTCCTCCAAAGCGTTCTGCTAGAATTCCTCCCGGAACACTTGTTATCAAATAGCCGTAAAAATATGCTCCTAAAAGGTTAGCTTGATCATGTTGTGACCAATTATAACGTTGACCGTACTAAATACAAATTAAAAAAATCGGTATAGAATGTGCATTATACGTATGTACATATTTAAAAATTTAATATTCTTTTCTTACATCAGGTAATGGTGTGCTATCGTTGCTTGTTGGCTCAACCATTGCTACTAGGTTTATGGAGAAATTTACCTTCATCATATAATTTAACAGACAGGCCTAGGAAAGAATTTTAAAATTTAATTTATATTTCTTATACTGTTTGGACACTTAATTTGTCCGTTTTATTTAGTTTAAAAACGGTTTATAATCGAATCACTAATCAAATTTTAATTGCCAAAATTTCAGCAAAGCCATCGCTATTTATTTATCGAATAATAGCATTGAACTATTATTTTTAATATTTATTATTTTTAATTTTTAACAATTTTTTTATAACCATTTCCCTGTAACAATATTTCAATTGAGTCTACTAATATTAAGTATTGAGAATTTTAAATTTAAACACTTAAATTTTATATATATACTCGAATTTTTAAATGCAGAAAATTACTACAAATATATTCATTTATTTTCTTTGTTTTTCATACACACTATATGCCTACATATACATATATATACATACTATATACAATACAAAAATCAGTATAATACAGTAAAAAATTCTATATACTCTTATTTAAATTGTATAATTAAAAAGTGAATTTGCCAGCGTTTTTTTAAAGTTGAACCAAAAAAAAATTATGGTTGAAAAGTATAAATAATGTATCCGTCTATATTTTTATTTTTTGTTTTATTAATTGTAATTTCAAGCTTTGTTAACTTAAATAATATATTATTCTGTAAACCAGTACATAAACATAAAATTATAATTTTTGTATAATCCTAACTGCGTTTTTTTATAATTCAGTAGAAAAACAAGTGTTTTTAAATTGTTAACTAAAATAAACATAATGTATATAAAGCATCAAAAAACAAGTTTTCGTACATACACTTTATGAAATTTTATATTTTAGCCCTAAATTTTCGGAAATACATACATAATAGAATTCTTACTTGTTTTTTTTCTTTTAAAAAAGAAAATGTTAGACGTTTTATAAATGATACACAGGATATTTTACAATTTCCACATGTAGTTTCAGACCACTTTTATACTTACCATAAATAGCATGGATGCAACCCAAAACCTTGTAGGTGGTTTATCTATTGAATAATGTAATAAAATAAAATAGTCAATTTTCAATTCCAAATTAGTTAATCGTTAATTATATTATATTGACATCTATAATGATTTGATTAGGGAGTTTCTAATATAAATAATATTTTTAATAGGAATTTATTTATTTTTATTTATTCATACGTTAAATTAATTATCATATATATTTATAAAAACATTTTCAATTTGGGATTGATGAATAATATAGGAGAATTTATTTCCAAATTAACATCAACGTGAAAAACAATTTTAAATTTAGAATAATTAAGAAAATATTGTTATAGTGTTAAAATTATTATGCATATGATACGATAATTATTCTTGAGAATTAATTGCCTGGCCTTAACATTAAGTCGGTTTTGGTAAATCTTTAAATTAAAAGTGAATAAATATAATTAGAAAATAATGTGCCAATTTCTTTAAAATAATTAACAACTAACAAATAGTGTTGTTTAAATTTATATTGTCTATATTTACACACATATGCATATATCAGTCGGTCTAACCTTCTTAAAATATTCCTGTGAAAAGTTTTTTTTTGGGATTATTTACTTAATATTCTCATTAATCGAATTGGCCAAATAAATAGTTGTTTTGATTACCAAAGTTATTAATTTTTGATGAAGAAAAAATTAAAAGAAGCATTTACACAGCAATGGAACCTAACGTCTAATTAGGTGAGCTAAGATTAAAAACTATATCTTGCAAGACATTAACTGTTGATTTAGTAAAGCTTCCATTTTCAGAAAAATAAGGAACAAAATTCTCATACTTTCGATCGTTACAAAACGGATAAAAACCAATTGGTTTCCCAGACGATTCAATAATATGTTCAAATATGTCTTCCAATTAATAAGTCATCGTTTAATAGTATAAATACATATTTACATCGTGTTCTTGTATCATCTATATTAATTCCATACGGAGCTTTCATTCACGGAATAGTCTGTTCCATAACAATGAAGTAAAATAATTTTTCCTGGTTTTAGTACTTGCTTTAAAATGTTAAGTTTTAAAAAACAGCTCCCTTTTACATGTACGTACATACGTACGTATGTACATATAAGCATAGCTATATGTATATACATAATATATTTGCTTAACAAATAGAAATAAATTTATATATTCCTTATACTTACACTTTTTTAAATATGTGGCTGCTGAAATAATCATTTTTTAAAATTTTTTGTAGAACCACCAGAAAATTTTAAAATAAAATATCTAAAAATAAATAAAAAAAAATATTATTAGATATAAATTCATATATGTATGTATGTATGCACATAAAAGTTTGTAAAATAGTGATGTTTATATCATATACAAGTAATTTAAATTTTGACATGTAATTTTTGATTTTTTTTGTTAAATAAAAAACGTAATAAAGTTAATTACAGTCAAAAACTCAAAAAGACCTCCAGGGTTTTCTTGCTTAGAAATCTGCTTATTAACATGCGGAATATGTTTATTATTAAATAAGTTTATGTGTAAATGTTTATCATATTCTATTATGAAAATTTATATGTATGTATCTTTTTCGAAATATTTATTGAAACTTGTAATGTAACTAAACTTCTTAGTTTTTAAAATATTTATATAAGTGCAAATGTGGCAAATATCTGAGGAATAAAATCTTTTTATATATACGTTACGAATATGTAATTATAATTTATATATGTATATGAAGTTATGATTCAATAAAATTATTTATTATTCTAATTAGTTCCAGCGAAGGACTTTCTCATAAAAAAGAATTGTATAGCAGATACTGAGAATTTTTTTTTTGGAAATCTATAGTTTTTACATTTTCTATAACAAGCCAAACAATCTTCAACTTATGACTTTAACTATACGTTATGTTATTCAGAGAATATTTTGCAAATGGAAATTGGAAATTGGAAACATTATAGTGAATGCAGAATATTGTAAACATTAGGGCACTTTTGCATTTATAGGGTACGGTAGTGTTATAACTTATAGAATACTGTCTTGACATAAAATCAAGATTAATATTATATTACTGATTAAAAAAATATGCTCATTAAATATAAATAATACCTTCAGAAAAATAATTTCCTGGAATTCTTTTTCGTTATAAATTTGTATATTTTTTCCAAACAAAAGGCACAAATCATTATAGATAACACTATAATTTTAATTTTTAATATAAAAAAATATAGTAATTTATGATGGAACAGGTAACTAGTTATATAAAAGATACCAAAATTAATTTTAAGTACCATGCAGTTAAATCATTATCTATTGATAAAGTTTTTTAACACGAGAGGCATACTCGTGTATATTTGCATTAAGTTTAGTAAAGATATTTAAAAAAAGATGTACAAAACATTATTTGATTTGGGACATATACATTTAAAGATATTATAGAATATGGCAAGAATCAATTGAGAATCTTCACCGGCGTCTTGATGATTGAGAGCGCTTGCAGATTTTACGGGGATAAAGAGCACAATACATCCTCGTATGCTGGTCGCGGTGCACTGTGACCCCACCTGAACAATCTACAATCTAGGACATATACATAATTTGGTTCTTATTTAATTTTAAAAATAAGTCATGTTTTTTTGTTTAATTTTATTGACTGTTGTTAAGAAACATCGCATTACGCATTATGAATTTCAGTCAATCTATAACTAATATCCGACAATATTAGAAAGATTTCATTTTATGAAAAAACGTTTTGCAAATCGAAAAGAAATTTATTATACATACACTTTATTACGACTAGAAAAGGATAAATGACATCGAGACACTTTAAAATTTTTTTGAATCGTGATAATTTAATTGGGTGTTATTACACGCACAGTGCTCTCCACAGTTTTAAACTGAGGCAACATATAAAATTCGAAGTTGTTTCTTTGAGAAACAAGTCATGTAAAATCTGTTGTTGTTTCTTTGAGCGATTGTTTCTTATATGTCAGTCAGTTAAAACAATGTGTCAACTAAACAATACTACTTCCATGTGTCTTATCAAAATTCAGTTTTTATTTGCTTTGAAACAAGTCGTTGCATAATTTGTAGAAAAGGTCACCTATGCACAAAGACCTGTATAATAAAAATAGTAGAAATAAAAACCATATTAAATAATTATATTTTTTCTAAAGCTTCTCTTTAATCTACATTATATGTATGTATGTTGTAAAACATAATATGCGGCTGATTATAGAAAATAGATATAATAGCTTCATATAATAAACAGCAGTGGTGCATTGAAATATATCGCTTGATTCTACGAAAAGGATCAACTGGTAGATAGAACACTAAGAGTCCTAAATTATAAAGAGTTATAAAAAAAAGCTTAAAGTTTTTTTTTTGATTTTAGAATTTGTTCTTATTTATTTTGCAAACAGCCATAGCTAAGATAAAAGGGGTTATTGACAAAATTACAGGGCAAAACCGTTGTTTTCAAAAATTTCAAAATTAGTTTTTTTAAACAGTTGTATACTTGTTAAACGACCAATTGCACCACCATTCCATATCTAACACAACCTGCTTTCATATCAGACAGCTTACTCTTTCTTCTAAACAGACAGCAAAAAAAAATTTTTTTATAACGAAAAAATATATAACAAAATCAAAACATTTACATAGATTTAACTAGCATTAATTTAGATTGAACAATAAAACAAAAAGGGTTTCAAATCATCGTACTGGATAATGTGCTGAAAAAAAGCAATAATTTATTACATGGAAATGTGTTTTGTATCAAAAATGCAAGCATGATTTTTATATTTTATTAGAAAGAACTAGTCATATTTTTCAGCATGTGGGTGTTGTGTAATTTATATTGCGTGTTAAGTATTGGTAGTAAAAGTGGCATGCAAACTCGATTTGCTTTTAATTTTTCAACCAAAACAAAATTTTATATACATAAATAATTAATAATGATGATAACGAAAGATAAAATATTATAGGTATCTTGTCAACAAAAGATATTTTTTAGGTTCCATTGGAATTACTTTAATTACTATGTATACATTTATTTTATTATTGTCATAAATTTTATCATAAACATAAGTATTAGTCAAAATTTTGCTCATGTTTTAAAAAACTTTTTAATTTTTACCTTTTTAATATAGACTAAAATTAACAGCTGTTTTTCCAAAGATTTAAATAAGTTGAATAAAATAGAAGAAAGGCAACCAGCTTTAATTAAGAGGAACTTTAAAAATATATAGAAAAATACATTAAAATCTCAAATTTTAAAATTACAAAGTTCATATGAAGATATTATTATGGCAATAATATTGTTGTTATCATTTTAGTTATCTAGAAGATATTTGTTTCATTGCTATTACATGTGTATAATAATTAGGTTACACAAATTTATCTGCGAGAAAAACTGAAAATACTTTTGAGTTTCAATCCGAAAAGTATGCAAATACTTTTTTTTGGAATTGGTTTGACAAAGAAATACCAAAATAAAACTTAGAACACTAAAGAAAAAAAGAAAATTAAAAGACAAAAAGGAACTTATTTACCATAAAATCAAGCTAGTTTTATGGCCAAAATTTAATTTTGTATTTATTTCTCATTTATATATTGAAAATGTACTTATTTTTAATGAAACAACTTCTGCAGGACGGGAAAGAGGTATGTTTAATCGTTATATCCGTTAAAAGAACTTTCATTTAATAACAATATTTTTGGAGGAAAACTTACCTTCTTGAAAAACATATAATTTTGAATATGTACATATATAGTTTTATGTTATATAATTAAGGAATCGCAAGTTTTTTACGAAAACTGCAGAAATGAAATATTGCAAGTCCATGCAGGCTCGTTAGCACGCAAATATTTAAATGTGTTCACGTACACATTTATTACAGTTCTTTAACATTTTTATATGCAAAATAAATATTCAATTCTTATTGTAAATATTAATAGAACATAATCACAATCATTCATCTTTAATTATTTTAATTAAGAAATACGTAATATGTACAAGTCGAAAAAATATTCTAAAATTGAGCAATTCTTCTCATTTCAGTTTTACTTGAAATTAGTCTTTGTTTAATAAATTCATTCATTATACACATACATATATCTTCATATGATTTATATATTGTACTGATTACTTTAATAAGAGCAAAATAATTAAAAAAAAAAACTGTTTGATTACTTGTGAATAATTCGTTTCAATCGAAATTTTAAAAACTATTTAGTAAGATTATATTATTTTATTACTTGATTAGATTTTGTCATATTTATACTAAAGGGTGTCTTAAATTAATTTAATTACTTAATTTAATATGTAGTTTTTTATCAAAATATTTTATTGGACGCATACATATATATTATGTATAAAATTGTATATATATAATAATTGTTAAAAATTTATTGTACATACAAGTTTCATTGTTTTTAATACAACAGTTTTGTTTTTAATTCATTCGTGGTGATTTTTACGACACTTATGCTTGCGAGTTATATACATACATATATATATTTGACTTCCAATTTCACTTTCAAATTGTTTAAAAAATTATAAACAATTGTAAAATTTGAAATACGTGAAAACCATGGCATACTAAAAGATAAGCAAAATTTTGTAGTAATGTAAAAAGGAATTTTACAAAATTAATAGATAATTTTCCAAATCCTTAATACCCCAAAAATGTTTTTTGAAAGCAAAGAGGAAATTTTCTTTGATTCGAAAAAGAATTTTTTTTTTAATTTTTTACCAATTTACTCGAAATTTTATATCTGGTTATAAAAACAATGAGCCATTAAATTTTACAGGAATATGAAGGCTTGCGCACAGAACTTTTACTAAGACCAGTTTTTACATATTTTATCATATCTCAGAAATTGCTTAATAAAATTTCTGGAAGTTAAATATTTGAGTTTTGGTTATTTGTGAAATTAACTGGGAATTTGCATCTAAATCGATTCACAAAATATGAATTCACTAAGTACCAAATTTACATTTTTCCAATAAAATCCAGATAACTGTAAATAGCTGTAAACAGAATACTGCGTAGAACTGCAATTAAATTAAAATACTATCATAATTAATGCGAATTTAATTAATTGAACATTCAAAAACGAATTCGTTTCTTATAATTATAAGAAAATCCGAACAAAAAGGCCCAAATTTTTAAAATTCGTTCTTCATTTTATACTTATTCCTGCAAGACAGAAGAGTCATTTTTTTTCTACTTTTTCCTTTCTTCGTCTCTTTTAAGTTATTACCCCTCATT